TTAGGTTACAGAGTGGACACATGCGACTTCCATCGTCTTTCTTCCATAGCACAGAACTTGCCCACACTTAATTTTAAAAAGCTATCGTAGAGCAGGGAGATTCGGAGGGCTAGCTTCTTGAACATTTAAGGTAAACGCTGCCTTAGAATGGTCTAGGTTTATAAAGTAGAGATACCTGTTTTAGGACTGCGTACGATTCACAACTCTCACAATTAAATTCAGTAGTTTTCGTGGTCCGCTTGAAAATTAATATCATTCAATTAATTAAGGTTTTTAGTTGAGTTAAAAAAGTCAGTGACACGAGCAGGATTCGCACCCACGATCTTCGGCTTGATACGCCGCTACTCTTGCCACTTGAGCTATCGTGGGTTCGAATCCCGCTCGTGACAGGGACTTTTTTTATCTCAACTAAAAACCTTAATTTGAACTCTCACAATGTTGATCTCCTAAACTACTCAAACTTTCCGTGGTATATACAAGCCTGAGCGCTAACCATGAGAACTCGAGAGATTTTCTAACGAAAAGTAAATTCTAATGACAAACCAAGAGCAATTAGATGGAATAGTAGTTATAGTCCTTTTACTCCTACTTAAGTCCTTCAACTCATACTATCGCCAAATGTAAAACGGGATTACTTATCGATTTTTTTTTCATTACCGTATGAATTGTTGTTATACTGAGAAATCCAACGCGGGACGTTTTGAAACTTTTAGGAAAATGTGACACCTTTAGAGATACACTTTAATGCAACAAAGAATCAACTTTCATATGGGACTTGAATGATTTTATGTCTTATAAGTAAACATACATTCACTAATGCGAATTTTATTCATATCAACCTATGCCTTAAGTATAATATCCTCCAAAAGGATTCTTCTTAAACATATTGCTACAAATTAAAAATTGGTATTACACCAAGAAATCTATTAACACGAGACATTATGAAACTTTTAGGGCATTATATGTCGTAATCTAAATGACCTCTTTGAGATATACAAATGCGACAAAGAATCAACTTACATATGAAACTTGAATGACTTTATATGTCGTACAAGAAAACATACACCAGCATATGAATTTTATTCTAATAACCGATACTTGAGCAATTCAAGTGTATGTCACCCACGACAATTCTTCTTGAACATATTATATGTCGTATGACGCGAGTAATTCAACTATATATCATACTTCGTATAGTATTCCATGAAGTCCATTATATGTTATCATTATCAATGCATCGAGTAAAGTCATTATATGACCTTCAACCCGTGCTATTGCAACATGCAAAACGAAACTTCTTATTGATTATTTTTCTTACTACCGTAGAAATTGGTATTGCACCAAGAAATCTATCAACGCGAGACATTTGAAAAGTTTTAGGGCATTATATGTCGTAATCTAAATGACCTCTTGCAGAAATATACGTTAACGCGACAAAGAATCATCTTACATGTGAGTCTTGAATGATTTTATATGTCGTACAAGTAAGCATACACAAATGCAAATTTCCTTCAAATAACGATGCCATGAGTGAACCAAGTTTATGTCATCCTCTTACATAATCCAAAATTATTCTTTAATATATTGACATCATATGTCATATTATACGAGTAAATCGGACATATATCGTATATCGACGTGTACCATGACGTCCGCTGATGCAGATCAAAAGGATTCTCCTTGTGTATAAAACTTTTAGGGCATTCAATGATGTCCGTTCATATAAATATGTGATTTTTTTGCGAAAACTATCGAACGTTTTAATTAAAATCGCCGTAATCAATTTGTCAAAATTTGTGGCAATTTACAAACGAATCCCAGGGTTAAATAAAAGGTCCGAGACCCTCCGAAGACCACCTGACTCACAAAAATAAACCGGTTTTCAAAGATCCAAAGAGAAAACACTGGACGGGATTCAACAACTGTCATTTAACGTACGATTTAATTTAATTGTTTAAATTATTTAAAAAATTGTATTTATAAATAATTACAAGGCAGGGGTTAAAAACAATATGTCAGGACGAAAAAAAATTGATGAAAACTTTTGTCTTATTGGCATATAAATATTTTTAAACGAATTTGGCACAGGGAATGGTACGAAATGCCAAGTAGTGCTTGTTAAAAGCGAAAAAAAAAATAAAAAACACGTTAGTGTATGACAACAAAAGCACATTTGCTACATTGTTTATACTCACTGTAAACACTCGTTCAATGTGACCGGTGATTTTATTCCAAGATGAACACTTTCACAGGGTCACAGAAACACTTTTTACTCGTTGTTCGCGACGGGCGAGTTGGTGTAAAACACAGAAAAACACAGGCGTTTTGTCCACCGAACCGTTACATGAGCGAGACGACCGCAACTGCCATTTTACTCTCGACTGACTCACTCGCACTTTTCGACGGGACGCCGGAGCCGAGGCGCATGCGCACACCGTTTTTGTAACAGCCACGGCGCCCGTCTAAAACCTTTCCGACTCCACAAGCGCTATCTCAGGGGCTTTGGCTCCATTTTCAAAAGTATGAAGTTCAAGTTTTACAATTTAGACTTATTTTCAGTAAAAACAGGATATTCGACTGGAATTTTCCGCTGAAAACAAGGAAAAACAAGTTGGTAGGAGAGTATGCTGAAGTGAAGAGTAGAAAAATTTAAAAAAAGCCTTTGATCCAAGCACCTTTGTGTCTGCCAGTTTTCTCTCTTTGCTTGTACACTTACTAATCATACGTATTATTTTTATTTATTCAGGGGTGAAGTTGAAGTTTTTAATAATTTGTACTTATTTTCATCAAAAAAAGAATATTCTACTAGAATTGTCTTCTGAAAATAAGGATGAATAAGTTGGCAGGAGAGTATGATGAAGAGTCGAATAAAAAAAATGCAAGAAAAATTCCTTCGATTCAAGCACCTTTGGGCTCGCCAGGTCTCATACTTTCTTTTCTCGTACTAATACATGAATTATTTTTATTCATTCAGGGGTGAAATTGAAATTTAACAATTTGGACTTATTTTCAGTAAAAAGATGATATTGACTGGGAATGTCTTCTGGAAACAAGGATGAACAAGTTGGCAGGAGTATATGCTGCAGAACCGAGTAAAAAAATTAATAAATAAGTAAAAAAATAAAAAAATCCAAGAAAAATTCCTTTGATTCAAGCACCTTTGTGTCCGCCAGGTTTCATACTTTCTTTTCTCGTACTAATACATGAATCATTTTTATTCATTCAGGGGTGAACTTGAAGTTTAACAATTTGGACTTATTTTCAGTAAAAAGAGGATATTCAAATAGAATTGTCTTCTGAAAATAAGGATAAATAAGTTGGCAGGAGGGTATGATGAAGAGCCAAGTAAAAAAATAAATAAATAAAAAAATGCAAGAAAAATTCCTTTGGTTCAAACATCTTTGTGTCTGCTAGGTTTCGCTCATTGTTTGTACTCGTACTAATTATAGGTAATATTTTTATTTATTCAGGGGTGATGTTGAAGTTTAACAATTTGGACTTATTTTCAGCAAAAAAGGATATTCGACTGGGAATGACTTCTGAAAACAAGTATGAACAAGTTGGCAGGGGAGTATGCTGAAGAACCAAGTAAAAAAAAAAATTAAAAAAATAAAAAGACAAAAACTCTAAAAATATTGATTGTTTCTTCAATTCAACCACCTATGGTTCTGCCAGGATTCGCTCTTTTTTTGTAGTCAAAATACATGAATTATTTTTATTTATTCAGGAGTGAAGTTGAAGTTTAATAATGTAGACTTATTTTCACCAAAAAGAGGATATTCGACTGGGAATGTCTTCTGAAAACAAGGGTGAACAAGTTGGCAGGTAGTATGCTGAAGAACCAAGTAAAAAAAAACTTTACAAAAAAATCTAAAAATATTGCTTGTTTCTTCAATTCAACCACCTTTGGTTATGCCAGGATTCGCTCTTTTTTTATAGTCAAAATACATTATTTATTTTTATTTATTCAGGAGTGAAGTTGAAGTTTAATAATGTAGACTTATTTTCACCAAAAAAGAGGATATTCGACTGGGAATGTCTTCTGAAAACAGGGATGAACTGAATGAATTGGCAGGGAGTATGCTGAAGAACCAAGTGTAAAAAAAAATCTACAAACATTTCTTCGATTCAAGCACCTTCGGGTTCACCAGGTTTCGCTCTTTATTTGTACTTGTCCTAATACATGTATTATTTTTAGTTGTTCAGGAGTGAAGTGGAAGTTTAACAATTTAGACTTATTTTCAGCAAAAAAGGACAGTCGACTGAGAACGTCTTCTGAAAACAAGGAAGAACAATTGGGTAGGAAAGTATGCTGAAGAGCAGAGTAAAAAAATAAAAAACCTGGTTCCTTCGATACAAGAATCTTTGGGTCCGCCAGGTTTCGCTCTTTGCTTGTACTCGTACTAATTACACGTTTTAGTTTTATTAATTCAGGGGTGAAGTTGAAGTTTAATAATTTGGACTTATTTTCAGCAAAAAATGGGTATTCGACTAGAATTGTCTTCTGAAAACAAGGATGAACAAGTTGGCAGGAGAGTATGCCGAAGAGCAGAGTAAAAAAATACTTTGATTCAAGCACCTTTGAGTCCGCCAGGTTTCGCTCTTTGTTTGTACTACTTGTAAGAGTTGAAATTAAACGACTATAAATTTAATTTTAATTTACGTTTAACTCGGATTTTATAATTCAATATAATAATTAATAAAGGTTCCGTTTGTTCTCGTTTTCTTTTCATTTTACCAGACTTTTAAATCCGTTGATAATGACCAACCATAGCACCCTCTCAAATTTATACTTGTTTATACAACATATAACAAAAAGCAATGTAATGTATATAATTATATTAAAAGTTACAACTTTATCTTAAAGTTTCGAGTAAAATATCTACCTTCGAGAGGGCCAACTTTGAGAAAAATAAGACCAAAACTTCACGAAGTTCGACACGCGCACGGCAATGGCGATTTTGAACGGCGGGATGAAGGTTTTCTGAATTTCCGGGGCGACACTCGATTGAAACCTCACGGAAGGTTACAAACTAACCGGTGCGTTTTGTGTACACTGGCCAATTTTAATTAATTCCAATTAGTTTTAATTAATTATTAATTATGTCAGCCTCTGTCGCCACAAACCCTTCGACAGTTCTTCCATTGGGTAAGCACAATGAAATTACAATTTTTACACTTGAGAAAAACCCTCAGACTCATCACGTCCAATTTGTAAAAAAATTGTTTAAAATGTCTTCATCTGTTTAAATACCGTTTGCAGAATTGGTCGACAAGTGTATAGGATCGAGGATACACATAATTATGAAGAACGACAAAGAAATTGTTGGTACGCTGCTCGGCTTTGATGATTTTGTCAATATGCTCCTGGAGGATGTGACAGAGTATGAGACGACGCCTGAAGGAAAGCGTATCACCAAGCTGGATTTGATTTTGCTCAACGGCAACAACATCACAATGGTATGAAACATTCCACTTCACTCTTTCACTAAAATATTGTCATTAAGGACACGCGCTAAGTTTACCCGCATCAGGGAGATAAACCGAATGATTAAATAAGTTGAGTTTCGGCTGCAGGTTGGTTTTTCTTCCAGTTTCGAATTTTTTTTCATTATGTTGTAACACGTTGGTGTTGCAAAAGATATGTGGCATGGAAAAAGTTAGCATTTTGCCTTTTGGTAGCTAGTAGACTTTTTGAGGAAAAAGAAAAACTGCAAACTAGTGTAAAAAAGAGAAGTACGGACCAAAAAATGGTTGTATAATAGCATATTTTATGATGTTAACATGCTTGAAGAATTACACAGCACAGAAGAATCTTGAAAGTTGCAATAATTGCTATTTTATTATTTTACACTGCAAATTGGCATATTTTCACTGTAAAACTTATTTAAAAAAGTGACAATAAATGTAAAAGTAAGGTAATTTTTAACATGGGTCTGCAAGTCAGAGAACATGTGTTGAACCGACACTGAGTCACTTTTTGGTTCTTGTTGATAGCGCAAGCTGAAACATGTTTGTGTTACATCAAAAATGAGTGTGTAGACAAACCCAATAATCAATGCTTGTTCAAAGGTAATTTCTGTCATATAGGACAGCTCAACGTCTAACGACCCATTGAGTTTAGGTTTAAAAAAGTGGAAAATATTGTCTTTGTCCTTTTGGGCTAGTTATTACACCAAAAAGGAAAGGTAATGTTGATAGAGGAGCAATTTGTGGGCCCAACCTGGTGCTATTTGTTACCACAGTTCATCATTAATCTTCAAAACATAGTTGGTGTTCACTGCAGGTGTTTTTTTTAATCTGTTGTGAATCAAATAATTGTTTCATTTTTTTATTTTAGCTGGTAAAAGTAAAATAAAGTAACTACTGTCATGCAGGAGGCTCATACAGGACTCGTTGGGTGTTGTGCTGTAGGGTCAAATAACTTTATAATACTTTTTCATTCAATTTTCAGTCAGACTCCATAACCCCGTGGTCCCCAGACAAATAAATAATTATTATCAAATTTAATCGATGACCTTTCAAATTTCCGTTGTCACATTTTTTTATTTTAATGAGCTGTAATTTGGATTTTACCGGTTCTTGGTGGTCTTTCGGTCATAGTTGTGTTAGTTTGTCTTGGGCTCATTGGCATTTCACCTATTAAATAGGAGGCTGTGGTTGTACAAATGGTCAGGGTGTCTGATGCATATTTTCCACGCTAGCAGTCCTGGGTTTGAATTCCAGCCTAGCCCATGGCTTTTTAACTGAAAATAATATGAAAAATGTATTGTTAAGTGATTTGACCCCTCGTCCGCGACACCCAGTGGATAGTTGGATGTTAAGCCCTCCTGTAAGACAAGAATTACTTTTTCTTTTTTAAACATATATTAAATGTTACTGTATGTGTAATAATTGTTTATCTGTAAATTGTTTTTTTTTTTTTTTTCCAGTTGGTCCCTGGTGGTGATATGCCTGGTGAATGAAATCACTCAAGATTGGCTCTTTGTACATACATATATGTAATTTTAAATTCTAATTAAAAGTTTTTTTACAATAAAACTTGCAAATTATTTATTTTATTGCCTTTTTTTAAATTATATGATTAGGAGTGAACAACGTTGACAGGTAATAATAAATATTTTTATTTTTATAAAACTGCTGTTTTACTAAATCTGTTTCAGGTGGATCGTGGTCTTTATTGTCTTGTATTTTTCAATGATGTGTTGGGTGGTTGAGTCTGGGCTGGTTTTCCACACCCAACCATGATTTGAACAATCCCATTGTTCATACAGAATACGAGGTTTTGCCAAACTTCTCACTCTTTTTGTGGTAAATATTTAAAAATAAGTAAATAAATTTTTCAGCTTTTTATTTGTTGATCATTTTTATTATTTTGTAATATACACTCAAAGGAAAGAAACCCAGACACTTAATTTTTTTATTTATTTTCTATAATCACTAATATAAAGCTTAATTGTTAACTTAAAACGTAAACATAACTTGATTACCTTTGTACAGTATTACTAATCCTTTTACACTCATTAAATTAAAAACAAAGAAATTTCCGTCCAATTCTGTCCTATCCAGAGCCAACTTGTCGAATGAGTTAATTGGTTTTTTGAATTGTTTTCTTTGACAAAACAATAAATTTGAGTACAAAATTATTAATTTTTTTCCTTTAAAATAATGGTTTTAAGTCAACATCTTGTTCAGGCAGATGCTAGGCCAACAACGGATGTAGCGCCCGTTACATAGCCCAAGTCCTGGGTGTGCTTGTTTGACTTTACCATCCATGACCACGATGTACTACAACTAGAAACAATAGTTTTATTAAATTCACTAATTTCGTGGTATGCTTGACCAATTAATATATTACAATTAATTAAGGTTTTTAGTTGAGATAAAAAAGTCAATGGCACGAGCAGGATATGAACCCACGATCTTCGGCTTGATACGCCGCTGCTCTCCCACTTGAGCTATCGTGACCTTGATCCACTCGGACATCAACTTCCCATCTCAACTGCACCTTTTTAAATTTTCCCTCCTTTTTGCCCTTTGTTTTGCCCCCGCCTTTGAGGGGGGGGGCTTTGGTGACTTCTCCTTTCTGTGAGCAGATGCCATGGTTTACCCTGGGGCCATAAGCCTTCGAGTGGAACAAGCTGCCATTTGGTCATATGTCCCCGCAGCGCCCTGATTTCCACCAGTCCAAACCTCTCGAAACCTCATTTTTTGAGTACTTTTAACTGTTGTATTTTTCTCTCTTTCAAGAGGACAAGACACCTGGCAGATCAAGCCGTATGGCATCCTCCGCAGTTCACCCAAGTTGGAGGGTCTGCACATCTAGATGCTTCCTTCCCACACTCACACACTTCCTGTGGGGACTTATACTGCAGGGAGATATGACCAAACTTCAAGCAACAGTAACACCTTTGGGGGAATAGGAAATAAAGGCGGACATTCAATTTGTAGAAAGTTTATTTCTTTGGGGCATTCAAAGGTAATGAAGAGACTCGCCAAAGGGACAAGTTGCCCGTTCTGGCGAGTATTCATCCGTTTCACCTCCATGACCTTCTTCTTTATCTTGTACGCCGCTGTTCAGTCATAGGATATTACCATACCCCTTGAGGTATTTAGCATCTGGTGAGGTGTGACCATGACCTCAAGACTTGCAAGCATCTTCAAGCCCTTCAGCAGTTCCTCCTTCTCCTTTGCGACTACTCCTATGCAAAGTTTCTCTTCTCTGCTCTTAGTAACGTGTTGTCATTTCCAAGCATTTATTTCATTTGTGAAGAAGGACCAATTCCTTCTTGACGTGGACTTGAAATCCCCACACTTCCTTGCTACTAAGTAGCAATGCGTCACAGGTCTCGGTGGGAGGTGTAATCCCTATGGTACCAAGACCCAGATCACCACCCGCAACCTTCTTCTTTAGTCTTGAAGCACTTAAGTCAAGCATCCCTTTTAAATTTTAAATGCAAATATAGAATTGCATAGTGAAAAAATATTAAATAATTTAATATTTTGACGTGACACTTTGCAGACTTGTTAAATGAAAAACCTACTTACTTGACACACTTATATAAACTAGGTATTCAGGTAAAAAATGAAACCCCATAGGCAAAAGAATTTTATTAATACTAAATTAGAATTTATGAACTAATAGAGTGAAAACATTAGTGAATCCACTTTATATCACACTTTCTTGAGTTTCTTTTACGCTTTAAAATCTTATATTGCATTCCATAATAGTAAATAATTTGTTTTTCTGTATAAATAAAAATATCCTGCTCTATCTCTAAAAATATGATGGGTAAAAATATATAATATAACATACATATTCAATTATATAACAATTTCAAGGTACACACGTATAAATTACAATTATGTTGATCTAAATGCTTCTGTTTTTTCCTTTTTTTTTAAATACTTCCACAATTGTCTAAGTTTTAATCTTATACAGTAATGCTAAATTACAAATAAAATTAAAGAAAAAAAAAACTAAATGACATTTAATTAGGAAGTAACATTTTCTATAAGTACCTTTATAATCACAGGCATTGTCCTACGGAATTTCACTTATTTCTTTTTTCCTAACCTATGTACATAACTCTAATATTTAAATCAGATTTATCTTTAACACAGGACAAATAGAACTTTCTCAACAAATTGGCACATTCTATTTTAATAATTAATTGTCTTTTTGTATTTATACATTTACATATATATTATTTTTCTTTAACAAAATATATAATTTATTTTCAAAGTAGTTTTAATAGACAATATTAATCACAAAAACAAAGTAGATACATTTTTAAGCTTTTTTTTTTAATTTTAATTTTTTTAATAAAGAATATGTTGGTACCTTGAATATGATATACATACTTTTAAAGCATAGTTTGGTCATCGTGTAGTGCCTATTTGCTAAAAACCTAGACGTGGTTCTTCAAATTGGAATGCAAGGTTGTACCAACGGATTCTTCGAGAGACACAAATTAAAAATAAATCTTATAAATCATTTCAAGGTCAATACATCAACTAAAATTTATTAGAATGCTGAAACAGGAAGAAAATATCAAATCACTTTGAGCAATTGCTAAACAATAAAACCAAAGAACTGATTCTATAATTAATGACTAACTTTTAAGACAGTTCTTCAACCACTAGGTTATATTCCTTGCCACTAAAATTATCTTGAAAACAAATTATATGTACAATTTGTTAATTAATATTAAGTTACTGGAATAACTTGTTCATGTAGTTATTTAAAAAAAAGGTCCGGTAAAGAATAATTTTCTTAATTTAATGTATTTAAAAAAAGTTAATCAATCCAATGAACAAATAATTGTGGCAAAGAAAAACGTTTAGATACGCTATAACATCAAGACCATTTGAAGTACCAATTTCTAAGGTGGAAATAGAAGAATGTTCATAAAGAACCTATAAAAGACATCCACAACAATATACGGTACTGACCTATGTAGAAGATTTGTATAATTGAATCAATTATCCAATAAACATTAAAAAATTATGGGAAGAAAATCTATTTGAAACTATAAAAATTAAATTCCTTAAATTAAAATTAATTAAAAATATAAATTGCAATAAATAAAATGTAGAAATTATTGTTATTTAATTGATCAAGTTACACTTTATTTTCTTTAATTATTGTTTCAGAAATTTATGTTTAATTTAAAGAAGAGATACCACATTTTCACAATGCTCACAGCTTTTAATCCTTTTTAGCACCAGTCGAAAGGAGACATTTCACAAAAGAAATGCACTCTCACAAAACTACTGCTCTTTTCTCTCTTTTTTAAAGGTTTTTAATATTTATATTGAGTTTTAATATAAAACATAATTATTATATATATGTTCAAAAACTTAAGCACTCGACTATTAGTACTATCTCAATTTTTATAATGATTTACGCGTTTACAAAAAAAACTTTGTAAAAACACGTAAAGCGGAGAAATATTTTGAGTATTCAAAGGAGAGAGGCATGCACGATGTCTCAGCATTTAGCCGGGCAGTAACGCTTCTGTATAGAAATCTGGATCTTCTTCGTTACCATCGACGTCATCCGGTTCGTCACTATCCAGCTGTATTAGATGTCCATAAATTAATTATATTTTATCGATGCTATAATTTTTTTTTTTGAACTCACCGCTCTCAGTTCTGATGGTGAAAATATGAATCTCAGCTGAGCCCTCAACGGGACCATTAAGATCAAGAAAAATGGGAAAGCGAGCGAGATCCCTGAAGATTTTACAATCCAGAGGACGACGAGGCACAACAACTGTATCAGTGTAAATAGATGCATTTTGAGTGTCTGGACCTAGGACAGAAACAAATGTTTACTTTTTTCTTTTAAATGCCTTAGAAAAATTGAAATACCAGGTTGTAAAATAAAACCTTAAGTAGTTTGTAAAAGTAATTACTCAATAAATTAATTCAAAACATGAGGGATAAAATAGAATTGTTGAAAAAAAAACTAAGGACTTATTTAAAACAGGAAACAAGCTAATACTAAAAATCCTTTAAAAAATAAAACCTACTCTTCGAACATATGCAGATTGAGGATGGTGCTTGACCGGCATGAAGAAAAGTCGGCACCTTTCGAAAAATTGAATTCCATTTATTGATGAAATCCCCATATAGAGAAAAACTCCGAATAACACAGACATCGGAACGAGCCTTAAGAGAGGGGACATCAGTACTGACAAGCCGACCAAGATGCTGACAAGTAGTGCACTTACTCTTTGTTCTACAAACAATGTAAAAATTACTCATAAAAAAATGCATTTTAAAATAAAAATCTGCGTTGTGATAAACCTCACCTTTGACTTCTATAATATGAGGCTTTTCACCAGGAGCATGCGTCCTAGACATGACAGTGACTGCTGAAACGTGTGTAACTGATCTGACAGTGGCGGCACAGACAAAAGGTGCACCTATGAAGCCACATCCGACATTCAGCAGACAAATCAGAACTATATCGAGATGGAAGCCAGATCCTTTTTTCAATTTCCTTTCTTTTTTGTCAATAATCAGCCTGAAACGAAAAGCATTAGTACTAAAATCAAGATGAATAGGATGATTTACTTACTCAGAAATGTGCGTTTCCATGAAGAGAAGAATATAGACAAGCAACGCAGGGATAAACGCTGCGAATGCAGCCCACAGCGGGAGAGGCCTCATTAGACCTGCAGGGGGAATGAACCAACCCCTCACTTCTGGGGCAGAAGGTGACAAGCCTTCGGGCACTTTCAGCTTTTCAGTGTAAGCACCTGGTGTGATGTAATCAAGACCAACCATCACAACAATTGCTATTGGAACGCCAAAATCTCCCAAGGCTCTTCTTGCCTGAAGTCAAATAAATTCAAAATTAGGTCTTAATATAAATTGAAGTAAATAATTTGGAGTAATTGTTAATATAAGGCTACGGTTTATAAAGACTCTGGTAGAGAAATTGGTATAAAAAGGGAAGATTTGGACATCAAAGGACATCTCAGTCATCTTAGAAGACTGCTCATAGTCAAGACTAATGGCTCATCCCAGTCAATGAAAAGTCAACTCCTGAACAGAAACAGCCACACTTTGTCTGGGACAACAAGGGGACTCAGACAGGCAGAGTTAGCAAGGACCAAGTCGACAGTCAAGAAACCAGAAAGGTGCTTATGAGTTTTCCCTCCTTTTTGCCATTTTTCAAATGTCATGTAATCGGATTGGATTCTCGACGACAAATGGAATGGCCACGGAGAGCTATAGTGAAGTGTACTTCATTTTTAATCATTAAGTTCACTAATTTCGTGGTCCGCTTGACCAATTAATGCATTACAATTAATTAAGGTTTTTAGTTGAGATGAAAAAAAAAGTTGAAAAATGGCAAAAAGGTGGGGTTGAGATAGGAAGTTGATGTCCGAGTGGATCGAGGTCACGATAGCTCAAGTGGTAGAGCAGCGGCGTATCTAGCCGAAGATCGTGGGTTCGAATCCTGCTCGTGCCATTAACTTTTTTTCATCTCAACTAAAAACCTTAATTAATTGTAATGTATTAATTGGTCAAGCGGACCACGAAATTAGTGAATTTAAATTCTAAAACTTTACCTTCTCCTACACAAGAATAAGTAGCGAAGCGTTTACGCCAACTATTCTTTTACTGCTTAAAGAAAATCAAACAAATATAGCGATTATTCAGACATGGCGCCATTGCCCGTTTACACAACCATTAAGTGAAAATAATTTATAATTAATAAACTCAAAGAAACATATTAAAAGTGATTCTAAGGCAATATGATGAATGATTTACACGTATGAATATCAGTTGAATAAACTTACGCTTCGGCCCAAAAATTTGCTGTTTCTAAACTGTCTCAGGTAGTGAGCGATGAAAAAAGTGCCTAAAGCGAGAATGGTGCAGAAGAGGGCTGTATTCGGCTCGTTGATGTGATGTAACGGATCCGTCATCATACTGTTCATCGACCATTGATTCATGCCCGAATTTGACGAATTGTTCACCTTATCTTGAAAGGAGCTGTGAAAACGAGAATACGTTTAAGAAATATGTTTACAATTTTACAATGATTTAAGCAACTAACATTCACCAAAAAAAAAAAAAAAAAAAAAAAATGAGGCCTTATGTACAAATAGGTTTACCATTGATTTCAAATATAGTGCATGCACAAAACTACATAAATGCTTAATTTTCTTAAGCATTTCCACAAAACTTTCATCAAAACACAAACATTCATTGTGATGAACTTTAATTGACACCGCTGAACAATATAATCATGTAATAGGAAGTGAAATGAAAAATGATATGTATTTTTTATGAGAATGTTACCGAGATACATATTAACTTTTTTTTTTAATGTTATGGATTTTTCTAAAAACAGAGTCGGCATTGTGTGTCATAGTTTTGACATTTTAAACATTTATTCCATTTTAATTTTTATAAATGCGTGCAAAGGACAAGTACTAAACATAAATCATTCTCGGTAGTGTTATGGTTTTTCCCCTTTGGAACAAACCAGGGAAGACCTAACGACACACAAAACTACAGTAAGGCATTGAACACAATCTCACTTTTGATTAGTCCATGATATGTGAGCCTGCCGTTTAGAATGATGCTTGATCGGGATGAATTTATCTGTGGCTGATTTTATTTGATGGGTTAGATTATTTTCTGAGGCTAGCCTATAGACAAAAACACCTGCTTTAAAAGAAGCATTGTACAAAAGATGAAACTTTGTTATGAATGAATACGTTCATTTTATTACTTCACCGCAAACCGACTTACTTTTCTTGTGGAATTTGTGTCGCATTTTTTAAAACATTGGAGCCATTTTCAGAGGAGAGATTACCGCTGAACATGGGCATTGTGTACATCCACATAGATTCGTTAGCAGCCATGCAATATTCCGTCAGTGTCATTATTGGGTGTTTGTCATAAACCTAAACAAAACATAATTCCATATTAATTAAATTATAATTTAAAACTATCATAAAAAAAATTGACACACATACTCGGCACACTTTCATTACACTTTCGACAATGTAAAGAAGTGAAATGAGCGAAGCAAAGATTTCTTCGGTGAACCTCGTGAAAAGCTTCACAAGGACGCTCCCCTCAAAGAAACTGACTACGAGAGCGATGATGAGAAGCCATATACCGATGTAGACCCTCGTCGTCAAGTAGTCGATTTCGCTCGTTTGACAAAACTGTGAACAACCACCTTTTATTGTTAATAAACTTTCCCTATCATTGTTCCAATTAATACTAAGTGTAATTATGATTAATTATTATACAGTACAACAGTGGCTTTGGAAATAATTGGATAAAGGAAATGTACCGTGTAAAGACTTTCGTCGAACAAGAGCAAAGGGCCAGTCGCTCCAATGATGACAAGTGGTTGTCCAGATAAAAGTGCAAATACTATACCACCGATAGCAGTTGATATAAGTGTTTCAGATATACCAACTAAATTATCAGTCTTGTCAGCTGAAAAAGAATACAAAATAAGAAAAATCTGACAACATAAAAGAAAAATTTCATTTGTCATCGAGAATCCAATCTGATTACACGACATTTGAAAAATGGCAAAAAGGAGGGAAAATTCAAAAGGTGTTGTTGAGATGGGAGGTTGGTGTTCGAGTGGATCGAGGTCATGATAGCTCAAGTGGTAGAGCAGCGGCATATCAAGCCGAAGATCGTGGGTTCGAATCCCGCTCGTGCCATTGACTTTTTTATCTCAACTAAAAACCTTAATTAATTATAATATATTAATTGGTCAAGCGGACCACGAAATTAGTGAATTTAATGGTCGCATTAATGTTGAAACTTAATTTTTAGACTGAAAATTTNGATCGTGGGTTCGAATCCCGCTCGTGCCATTGACTTTTTTATCTCAACTAAAAACCTTAATTAATTATAATATATTAATTGGTCAAGCGTACCACAAAATTAGTGTATTTAATGATTTGGAATGAAGTATACTTGACTCAGTAGAGCCAAGACATGAAGAAGGTAGCTGACTGACGAGGAGAGTTCTGAAACTCAGTGAGTCGAAACAAGTCGGAGGCTAGAAGACTTGAGTTGATAAGCCTTAGATTTGTGGTTGACTTGATTTTTAACTTTTTATTAATTTGGTCCAGACAAACGTTGCATTATGCATATGAAACTTATTTCTGATTTTACAATTTTTTTTAAACCTTCCATCCACACTAAAAGTAAGCATAAGCTTTCTGGTACTTCCACTTCAGAGATGCTCATGATTGAAATTAATTTGAATTGTACTATACCAGAAATTGTACTAACCCATTAAACCACCGAAGGTTATGGCACCAGAAAGTGCGGCAAAATACATAAAAATCGCCGCAGCAAGGCACTGGCCGTTAAATCCGTCTTTGACATCCGACTTATAATGCGGAAATCTTCTTTTTATGTCATTGATCAATCCACCCCAAGGACGCCGTGTTCTACGTAAAGGGTCGTCTTCTCCTTTTTTCTTCCAACCATCATCATCATCTTCATCGCCACCATCCATTAACGCTGAAATTGGAGAAAATGAACAATTCGCAATACGAAAGAAAATACCTTTGTACCTTTCTGTTCAGACGTTTCGAGCTGAACAGCTTTACTTTGACGTCTTCGAATAGCTTCAGTCTTTGCTTTTAGTTCGTTGAATGGCAGCAAAGCTTGCCTCTCCCAGTTGCCAGGAGGAAGAACAATGGAACAATCTAAGAATTCATTGATAGCCGATAACAACTCTTTACGAGCAGACGCTCTGTAAGCGATTTTATGAAACTCCTGCAATACAGGGAAATACATTAAAATTTGATGAATTTTAAAAATATAAAAGAAAAGTTTACTTACTGGATTGGACATCAATGTGGAAATTGAACGACCAATTTCATGGTAATCTAAATCAGCAGATAGTGGTCCCAATAATATGAACATGAATCTCACTGGTATTGGGATCTAAATCAGAAATTTTTTTTTTAAAGGCTCATTAAATCATATAAATGATCGATATTTAATTACCTCAGTGACAGTAGGTATCAAGATTCCTTCAGCTAAACGCACAAAAGCTATTGTCGGCTGAGCAAGAAAATCGACAGCGCCTACGAGTACGGTCGTGGCTTCTGCGCCGATCGGTATTCTTTTAAGTATACTTTCTTTTGCGGCCTTTCTCGTGAGGTCTTCCGAGGACGACATGTAAGTTTCTTCTTTCATATCGACCTGGTAAGAAAAGAAAAAGTGAGAATTTTTTGTTTCCCCTTTCTGTTCCTGTACTCACTGCAGTATGATTCGGAGGTTGAAGAAAATTCGCTTTCGCAGTGTCGACGGCCGACGCTGAAGGGACAAGCCTGGCTTTCCTGTGTTCATCGTTCAAATTCTAAATAACAATTTTATATTAGAAGTTTTACGCAGCGAAATAAATGAGATAATTAGTTAAGAAAAGAAGAAGATTAAAGGAGAAAATTAGCAAAATATTTTTGTTCACACTTGTGCAAAGCTAATCTACTTGAAACTGTTACAAAATTTGCTTATGTGCAATAAGCATCTGCGTTATGTCAAAACAGTGTACAATCATGAAAATAAGTTTGAAATAAAAATGGATGAATGTTTTTTAAAATAATTAATAGAAATAATACCAAGATAACAGGAAAATCATATTGTATTCATCAATATTATTATTATTTACAAATAATTAAGGTTTTCAGTTGAGATAAAAATTCAATGGCACGAGTGGGATTCGAACCCACGATCTTCGGCTTGATACGCTGCTGCTCTACCACTTGAGCTATTGTGACCTTGATCCACTTGGACATCAACTTCCCAAACAACCTTTTGAATTTTCCCTCCTTTTTGCCATTTTTCAACTGAAAACCTTAATTAATTGTAATATATTAATTGGTCAAGCAGACCACGAAACTAGTGAATGGAATAAGTTTAAAAATGAAGTATCACTTCACTAAAGCTCTCCGTGGCCATTTCATTTGTCGACGAGAATCAAATTGATTATGACATGACATTTGAAAAATGGCAAAAAGGAGGGCAAATTCAAAAGGTGGGGTTGAGATAGGAAGTTGGTGTCCGAGTGGATCGAAGTCACGATAGCTCAAGTGGTTGAGCAGCGTCGTATCAAGCTGAAGATCGTGGGTTCGAATCCCGCTCGTGCCATTGACTTTTTTTTATCTCAACTGAAAACCTTAATTAATTTTAATATATTAATTGGTCAAGTGGACCACGAAACTACTAAATTGAATTATTATTATTATTTTTTATTGCAGTTTTATTTTAAAATACAAAGGCATAAAGACAAAATGAAGTGAATATTGGCATATTAGCTGCGTGTAATACATAAAATAGAGAATTCCATGGGCTGCATGTGGAAATGGAGGCCAGAGTTTTAGCTGATGATGATAGAAATAATTCAATTGTACTGAAAACATACCTTTAAGAAAATACAAATATCTACTTGTACATATTTGCAAATAAAAAAAAAAACAAAAAAAAAACGCATCAATATTCACATTTCAGGATGTTAACACATAACAAAATCTCACAGGAAACAAAGGTTTCTTCTAATTTTACAGTTGAAAGGTATCTGGGAGAGAAGTAAATTCTAATCTATGTTATTGAAGTCTCTGGTAAAAACTAGTGCTATGCAAGACAACTATTGAGGTTGATGAGAACATGAAACTGAAAATGGTTTCGACAAACTTCACGACGTTCCGTGAATGTAATCTCTCGTTATTGAAATGTCAAGCAGATGAGCGAATGATCTGGGTGTTTAGATTTGAAAGAGGTCAATTACATTGTTCTCAGCATGTAGATCGGATAGCGAGCCTGTGTCGTCAAGTTCCAGTGACTGTGTGGCAAGCACAACAAGCAGACACATTTATTAGTTTTAGTACTAGAATTCTAATTTGGATGTACTGGAAGAGTTATGGTAGCTAGTTAATTCAGGGGGTTGTATTCTCAAAGAGAACGGGGTTTAGTCACTTCATTCTTTTAAGTTGAACCCACCATGGAATCGAACGATTCTTCTCGATTCTCCCTTATGCTGTGTGAGTACTAAATAAAAACAATTTATAAATAATTTTTCCATTAAATATGGATAAAATAAAATTAATTTTTGGCTAAAACCTAAATTAATTTTTTAAAGAAAAAAAAATGATGTAGACATGGAACATCAAAAAAGGCGTACCTGCAGACTTGAATAGCTTGCGGTGTTACGCCTAACATTAAACCTGAATCTTTCTTCTTGCACGTGCCTGTGCCTGAGGAGCAAAGCTCTCATCACGATCGGTTTGTCATTTTCCGTAATAAGTTCATCGATAGCCATCTGTTCGACAACACGGTACACAACACCGGGAAGTTCTTTTTCTTCTAAATCCACGAGGATCACGCCTGAAATTTAAAGTAACGTTTAATTCAAAATAACGCAAATGTTTTGTACAAGAAGAGACAAACTGACCGGTTTCGAGACATTTTCTAAGGTTGAGTAGCGAATGGAAGGACAGCGGGGCGACATGGGGTCGACCCCATCGCTCGGCACCTTCCTCGACGTCTTCTTCATATTTGATCCACCTGGCAGTCTCCTTCCACTCCCTTTCAGCTCCGATCCCACAAAGTTCATCAAGTTGAACAAACACCTGTCAAATAAAAAGTAATTTTTTTACCACATGGAAAATTTAGAATGGGCAGTGTATCCTTTGTATTTAACCGTCCTCAGGTCTAAGATTGTGTTGATTTATAAATTACAAAAGACCATTTGTCAATTAATAAGACTGTTTGTATGCATACTTTCAATGACACAATTAACGAAACCATCAAAACATCGATGCCATTGACTAATGATTTTCTCTTTTGTGATTTATATATCAACAGTTTTATTTTATTCCTGAAGAACGTCAAATTTAGGCTAAAAGCTTGATATTTGATTAATATCTCACAGCTGAACATAACCATGGTACACACCATTCTAACATCAAAAGCTAAGAAAAGTCAAATTTTTTACCTCGTGTGGACTGTGATCATATAATTTTTTCTGGCCGATGGATTCTTTTCTCTGCAAATCCTTAGGCCTGACGCTAAATCTTCTTTTCCCTTTGGATATATCAAATCTATGGCCTAGACGACAATATTTTTATTGAAAAAAATTATTCATTCTACTGTAATTTTTTTTTTTTTTTCAGTAGGCTTAGGAATATTTGTGTTTCACTTACTAACTAAATCATCTTGGTCCATTTCCTGCAGTGTTGATGTTTCCTCCAGCACCGCCTCACTCATCCGCCTTGGAAGCGCTTCAACGCCGGAACGTTTCCTCCACCCCGGATCTTCAACGAGGCTGTGCTTCCGGTGATGATGGTGATGGTGTCGCCTGAATAACGCAAAAAATGTTAATAATTGAATTTTTTTGTTTTTTAATATTTACTACCAATGCCGTCTTCGCTTTTTGTCCTGCTCTCGTTTCGCCTCATCAGTAACATCATCGCTAACTGGAATGTCACTACTAATTTTTCCTTCTTCAATTTCAGGAGATCCTAAAAAAATTGTACAGCATGAAATTTGTACCTTGATTAAATCTTTTTGTTCATTGTTCAATTTAAAATCGAGATTTCATCATAATTTATTATATGTATTATAAATCTTGATATTTTCCAACTTGAACAGATAACGATATCTGAAGTTTTTTTTCGAAGGATCTACGGAAGAGGTCAACACAGAGAAAAACTTACTTTCAGTTTTCGCCGAGCTTTCGACAGTTTTTATACTGACATCTTTTTCTGTTTTATTATCATATAAAAAAAAAAAATTAAAAACATGAAAAACAATTTGCACAAAAATTGAAATATCTGTTTTTAATTAAGTAATTTTTAATTATTAATTTATTCAATTTAAATAATGTTTAGATGCTGAGCACCAAAAAAAACGTAATGTACTTCTGTGCCCAAAACACCATGTCTTTTTATTTCCCCATTAAGGGTTTAAGTAAGATATTTCAATTTTTGTGCAAATTGTTTTTCATGTTTTTAGTTTTTTTTTTTTTTTTATATGATAATAAAACAGGCCCTGAAGATGACAGTATAAAAACTGTCGAAAGCTCGGCAAAAACCGAAAGGAAGTTTTTCTCTGTGTTGACCTCTTCCGTAGATCCTCCGGAAAAACTTCATGTTTCCAGCAGGTCGATAATCTAGCTCATAGATAACGATATCGCAAAACAAAAAATACATATTTAATATTTTGTTAGTCAAGTTTTAAATTTTTACCATTTTCTTAAAAATATTTATTGCCAGGATAATTGAGAGCCAGTACTTTACAATTTTAAATGAGAACGTATATTTTGTTTACTGAAATGTTTTAAAGGAATTTTAAAGGAGACCTGCAGAGCTTAGATATGCCAAACAATCACTTCCAGGTATCCTCTCATCATCATCAACAGATTCAACTCAATGAGAATATTTTGCTGCTTTTATTTAACCAACATAAATGATTTCTTCGCTCATAATTCAAAAATATTGACAGTGAGGATCACTTCTAGTATTATTAAGCTTTGTTAAAATGAAGAAAAAAATTCTCAATAAAAATAATATTGATGAAGTATTTACTTTGTTATATACATGTAGCTTTATAGTTCAATAATTTTTGAAATTAAGGCAGGCTTTTTTTTGTAGTGTTACTTATTAAGTCAGTTTCCAAATGGGTTTTTTAATTAAATATTAAGTTGGTTGTGAACAATTATAAGCATGTTATGTCAAACTTGCCTTAATTCAATATTGCAAACACACAGTTATATTTAAAAAGCTCATGTGTAAACAATTTCGACATTTTACTTGCTCAGCCTATTCTTGTTCATGTGCTCGAGGAAAGGCGATTTATAGCCAAGTCCGTCGTAAGGGACATAAAACATAATTAATTAAAACTACTAAAAGCTGGGTTGTAGCGAGGATTAATTACCTTGAACCTGTTTGCCTATGTCGAATTGAACCCGTTTGTCCGGTGAGGAGAGCGATATACATGTGTCCCTCGTCGAAGCCCTTTCCGAAACTTCGCCCTCTTCGCTGAGCGGTACATCATCTGCGATCGAAGTGTCATCGCCTTCCAGGGTAGGGCTGATTACAGATTTCGTGCTATGATATTTTTCAAACGATATTCATATATTATTTACCTTGTGGCAGTCGGGACTGTGTCGGAGTCGGTGCCCCCTTGGGAGCTCTTTCTTGACATCGCAGCCTGAAATAAATTTTTTTGATAATAATAGTAATAATAATCTTAGGTAATTTGATGAAATTTTTTTTTTACTGTTGGATCGTCAGCTGCCCCTTTACAAGAATGAGCCCTTTTTCTCTTAGAATGAAGCGCCTTTAAGGGCGCATGCATATGTGGGTAACTCTTTTTCCTGTGAACTGAAAAATTAAGGTTGTTAACATTTCCTCCTGATTGTCAAATTTTGCTTAAGTCTAAAAAGATTAAATTGCTAATTTTGATTTACTGGCAAAACATTTTGATAATGAAAATTGCATTTTATTTCTTAAGAAGTTAAGAAATAAGTCTTAAGAAGTTTTCTGTATGAAAAACATATTTTGCCGTATCTAATCAATTTCTTTTTATACTCGCTGTTTCGATCGGCCAAATGCGTTTTGGAATCTCGAAATCTTCAGTTAGTGCTGTGGGATGGTCTGGAGAAGATGGACAACTGATTGACAGTTAATTCTGAGAATAGGGGAAAAAGAACGATCTGTTTGTACACTGATGGCTCTAAGACGCAAGAAGGTACAGGAGCAGACCTTCTACCTTCGGCTAAATACGACGCTACTCTAAGCTCTAACCACTTACACTATCGTGAATTCATCCACTCGGAACCACCTCCTCATCTCAACCTACAACCTTTCCAATTTTCCATCTTTTTCATATATTTTCCAATATCGAGCAATCAGGATTCGATTCTCGACGAATTAAGAAATGGCCATGGGGAGCTGTTAGCGAAGTAAGTACTTCTATAATTAGTATATTAACCCATATATGTTTTATAGTCATAATTGACCTATTTAATTATATAATTTAGTTAATTATCCTTTTTATCTAAGGTCTTGGTTGAGAAGAAAAACGTCAGTGTCACGAGCGGGATTCGAACCCAAGACCTTCGGCGCTAAATAAGCTGCTGTAAGCTCTAACCACTTAAGCTATCGTGAATTCATCCACTTGAACACCACCTAATCTGAACCTACAACCTTTCCAATCTTTCATCTTTTTCCCATATTTTCAAATATTCTCCAATCAGGATTCGATTCTCGACGACTTTTTAATAATTATAATTGACCGTATTAATTATTTTAATTAATTATCCTTTTTATCTAAGGTCTTGGTTGAGATGAAAAACGTCAGTGTCACGAGCGGGATTCGAACCCAAGACCTTCGGCGCTAAATACGACGCTCCTGTAAGCTCTAACCACTTAAGCTATCGTGAATTCATCCACTCGAACACCACCTAATCTCAGCCTACAACCTTTCCAATTTTCCATCTTTTTCCCATTTTTTCAAATATTCTCCAATCAGGATTCGATTCTCGACGACTTTTTAATAATTATTAAGATATCGTGAGATGCGGTCGGGTGTGATGTAGGTTTCAGAAAAACATTTTCTTTGTCGTGCCAACGTTTCGATCTTTATTGAGATCATCTTCAGAGCCTGGGATTTACAAACATTGTTTACGTGTAGAAATGTGTAGAGATTAGTGACCGTTAATCGATAGTTATTCAGATATCGTGAGATGCGGTCGGGTGTGATGTAGGTTTCAGAAAAACATTTTCTTTATCGTGCCTATCTGGCACGATAATGAAAATGTTTTTCTGAAACCTACATCACACCCGACCGCATCTCACGATATCTGAATAACATTGTTTACATTTAACAAATACATTTAGGATGTGGAAAAGTGAATTTATACAATGCAAAATATATTTTATAAAGTATTTCTATTCACTCAAAGTGTTTGTCTTCTGTGTAATTTTTAATAATTATAATTGACCGTATTAATTATACTTTTTATCTAAGGTCTTGGTTGAGATGAAAAACGTCAGTGAATGAATGAATGAATGAAAAAAGTACTTTATTAGAAAACAAAAGAGAAAAAAATTGCACATAACTAAAAAGCACATAGCTGCACTGGTTATCAACCGTCTGCCGGAGTCGGGCTATAAATTTTTAATAAACAAAACAGGACTAAAAATTGTTATCAAGGAATAAAAAAAAAAAAAAAACCAAATAAGTAAAATAAAATAACAACATATCTATGTATATTTACGTACAATTATGCATAAATAACCAGGCTGTCTCATATATAATAAACAGTTAATTATTTAAATTAAAAAAACTAGTTCTTTCCTTTAGTTCCAGGTTTCCATCGCAAAATTTACTAAATTTAAGCACTCTGGGTTTAATAAAGAGTTATTCAGATATCGTGAGATGCGGTTGAGAGTGCCCAACACACGTCACGCAAGGATGGCACAATTACACAAAAGACAAACATTTTGAGCCCTGAAGATGATCTCAATAAAAGATCGAAACGTTGGTACGATAAAGAAAATGTTTTTCTGAAACCTACATCACACCCGACCGCATCTCATGATATCTGAATGACTATCGATTAACGGTCACTATTCTCTACACACGTTTAATAAAGAGATTAGTTGCTCTCTTTTCAACGTGGACAAGCTTATATGCCGTACTCAGAATTGCGCCAAAACTAGGCATTCTGCTAAAAATGTTTGTAAATTCCAGGCCCTGAAGATGATCTCAATAAAGATCGAAACGTTGGCACGATAAAGAAAATGTTTTTCTAAAACCTACATCACACCAGACCGCATCTAAATAAATATCGATTAACGGTCACTAATCACCACACACCACACATACTGGTAAAATGTGAAAACTATCGAGCCTGCCTGATGCAGAGAGATAACTTATTGGAACTCTTGCGGGATTATAATTATTAAGATAAAGTAACGCCTAACTTTGAAAAACCGTCGAACTGGCGGAATGGATGGAATTTTAGAATTTTGCGCTATGTTCAAGAATGGTCCTTATATACTAAAAACTTAGAGGAATCTTGTGTGTGAAGGAGACCTTTCACTGTGTGAGAGGTGCGGATAATATTGAGTGTAAAAGTGGCCACTCTTTATTATGGCCCAGGAGAAAATTGTCATTGAGCTGAAATTATTGAGCCAAGGTATTCCTGGAAGAGATGGCTAGGAAGGTTTAGTATCCTGCAGACAGGAAGGTCTCAAGGAAGAGAGCGGTGAAAGAGTAACTTGAGTCCTTTATTATTCTCCCTTTTTCTCAACGATTTCCCTGATTGTCTTGAATACGGTATACGTTGCGGAAATGTTGAAATAAAGATATGCAGACGATATTCTGACAGAAATATCCCTTAGAGCCTTACTAAATGGAATCTTTCGGTCAACCTAAACAAATCCAAAATTCTGGTTTTCCTTAGGGGAGGCAGGCTTGCGGCTAATGAACGCTGGTATTTTAAGAGCTCTAGCATTGAAATAGTAAGTGTAAATATTTGGGCTTAATTTTCACTCCTGAACTTTCATTCATGCTCATCTCAAGCGAAAAATATGCTATGAATTCAATCTGGGCTAAATGCATTTCGAATACTCTCGTCCCAGTTTGCAGTAAATACACAGGTAAAAAATCCCACCCCACTCTTCTTGTTTTAACCAATAAATATTTGTTTATGTTATGTTTTAAATTGAGAATATCAATTGGATGTAAGCACACTTAATCCTTAATCCAAAAACAAGGATAAAAGATTTTCAATGTTTACTTTTTACGGAATTTAAAATGTTTATTCAGTCTCATTTGAATTCTGAAGCAATAAACTGTTTAGGTTTCGTCTTTGTTTTCTTAATTTCAATTTTTAAACTTAAAAATGCCACTTAGTGCTGAGGATGTTGCGCGTGGTGTGGCACTTATTGATGATGGACGTTCCATCAGGTATCAGGCTATTGCCATCGGAGTTACCTAAGAAACGATGCGAGACGCCTTTAGATGTTCTCGGGAAACTGGGTCCTACCATAGAAGGCCCGGTTCTGGACGCCCTAGGGTAACAGAACCACAGGATGACCTTTTTTTTGTCTTTGGGAAGTTCTTCTCGTGTAGAAATGCGTGGTGATTAGTGACCGTTAATCGATATTTATTTATAAATCGTGAGATGCGGTCTGGTGTGATGTAGGTTTCAGAAAATGTTTTTCTGAAACCTATATCACACCAGACCGCATCAAACGATTTCTAAATAAATTTGGGAACATTGCAAAACCGGCACCTTACTGTCCAAGCGATTCTTCAGCTCCAGGAAGTTAGAGGTGTACAAATTTCTGAACGCACTGCTTGAAGAAGATTAAAATCAGTATGGACTGAAGGCTTTTCGCCCCAGAGGACCAGGATTGACCAGACCACACGGAGTTGCACGGCTCCCATTTGCTCGAGAACACAGCCATTGGTCTTTGAACTGTGCTGTACTTTTTACAGATGAGATTTGCTCTACGATCTCCAGGTGACGAGAAATAGTGTGGAGGACGCGAAATGAAAAGTACGAAGCCTGTAATTTTTCCCAGAGCCAATCTTTTCAACGTAGCTCAGTGACGGTGTGGGCGGGAATTTTTACGGAGAATTATTCAGAAATCGTGAGATACGGTGTGGTGTGATGTAGGTTTCAGAAAAACGTTTTCTTTATCGTGCCAACGTTTCGATCTTTATTGAGATCATCTTCAGGGCCTGGGATTTATAAACATTGTTTACATTTAACAAATACATTTAGGATGTGGAAAATTAAATTTATACAATGCAAAATATATTGTCTGCTGTGTAATTGTGCCATTCTTGCGTGTCGTGTCGAGAGTGCCAGTGAGATTTTGCTGTTTTATGTTTATACACGTTGGATTTTGAATGGGTGGGGAAGGATGTCGGTATAGAAAAGACATTTTTGTATAAGGCGTCGGTTTCTTTGAGGTGAAAAGAGCCGACAAAGGGAAAAAACATTGGTAATGGTTCGGCCAGATTATCCTTTCAGGATTATATAGAAAGGGGGTAAATAGGAAAAGGAAAGCTAAATTGTTGAAAAATTAGACTATGTGAAAAATGTTTGATGTGTGGAATGTAATTTAATGATATAGGTGTGTTATCTGTATTGAATTTTATTAATGATATCGGCGTAGCTGCGACTGAGTTTACATGTATCTGTTCTGTAATTGATGCTGTGTTAATCTCTGTTGATATAAACCATTTCTAAGAAATTATGTTTATGTTTTACGTAATATTTTTGACTTCCTTCCCCATTCAAAATCCAACATATATAAACATAAAACAACAATATGTCACTGGCACTCTCAACACGACACGCAAGAATGGCACAATTACACAGAAGACAAACACTTTGAGTGAGTAGAAATATTTGATTGAATATAAAAAATATATTTTGCATTGTATGAATTCATTTTTTTCCACATCCTAGATGTATTTGTTAAATGTAAACAATGTTTGTAAATCTCAGGACCTGAAGATGATCTCAATAAAGATCGAAACGTTGGCCCGATGAAGAAAATGTTTTTCTGAAACCTACATCACACCAGACCGCATCTCACGATTTCTGAATAATCATCGATTAACGGTCACTAATCACTACACATTTCTATGGAGAGTCGCACAGAGTTGGTTGTTGGTCGTGGAGGGTCTTTGACGGCCACGATCATGTGGATGAAATTTTGGCACATCGTGGGTTGTCCACCCTCCATGAAATCTGTGACAATTCTATTCCAATCCACGATCTCGCCCGTCCACATGTCGCTCGCATAGTACAAACCTTCAGTAGCGTAACGTCAGGGTCTTAGCCTGGCCAGCCCGTTTTCCAGACTTAAACCCCATCGGACTTTATGGGATAACCTCAAAAGACGAATAAGACCACGTCCATCATTTCCTGATACACTCCACGATCTCGAAAGGACTCTTCGCAAAGAATGTGCGAACCTCCAGCAAATTTCCAGTCTGGTAGAAAGTATGCTGAGGCGTCTTCGAGATGTAAATTAGGGCAAGAAAAAATACACCACATTGAAATATTAATTAAAAATCTAAAACAAAATTAAAACAAATTTTACATGTCCGCCTTTTTTTTCAAATATTTATTTTCCTTAGCAATTTCCTCTTTTTTTTTACTATTTTAGACAAAAACTCAATTATTAAACCTTAAAAAACGTGACTGATTTTTTTTCAATTTTCATTTTTCTTAGAATTTTTTTTTTTTTACGTTTTTAGACAAATACGCAATTATTAAACGTTAAAAAACGTGAAACTGATTTTTTTAAAAATTTTCATTTTCCTTAGAAATTTTCTTTTTTTTACGTTTTTAGACAAAGACGCAATTACTAAACCTTAAAAAAAAAGTGACTGATTTTTTTTAAATTTTCATTTTCCTTAGCAATATTCTTTTTTTTTACGTTTTTAGACAAAGACGCAATTATTAAAGGTTAAAAAACGTGAAACTGAATTTTTTCAATTTTCATTTTTCTTAGCAATTTCTTTTTTTTACGTTTTTAGACAAAGACGCAATTATTAAAGGTTAGGGATGGTTAGGGATGGTAACCTAACCATCCCTAACTATTAAAGGTTAAAAAACGTGAAACTGAATTTTTTCAATTTTCATTTTTCTTAGCATTCTTTTTTTTCCATTTTTAGACAAAGACGCAATTATTAAACCTTAAAAAAAAAGTGAAACTGATTTTTTTTAAATTTTCATTTTTCTTAGCAATTTCTTTTTTTTACGTTTTTTAGACAAATTCGCATTTATTAAAGGTTAAAAAACGTGAAACTGATTTTTTTTCAATTTTCATTTCCCTTAGCAATATTCTTTTTTTTACGTTTTTAGACAAAGACGCAATCATTAAACCTTAAAAAAAACGTGAAACTGATTTTTTTTCAATTTTCATTTTCTTTAGCAATTTATTTGTTTACGTTTTTTAGACAAATACGCAATTATTAAAGGTTAAAAACGTGAAACTTTGATTTTTCTTTTCAATGTTCATTTTCTTAGCAATTTTCTTTTTTTTCCATTTTTAGACAAAGAAGCAATTATGAAATGTTAAAAAACGTGAAACTGTGGTTAATACATAAGAATATATACAAATCAAATTATTTTACAAGTGGGTGGAATTTTTTCTCTGCCAGTGTACACAATTTTTTCTGCTGTCTGCTCGATTTTGATATGAAACAATTGCATCCAGACAACGCTATTTTATCCGTAAAATTTATCACCTCCCTTCTTTCACCCCAGAAAAAATTATTGTCACGAACGGGATTCGAACCCACGACCTTCGCCGCTCCTCAATCACTTGAGCTATCCTGACTTCGATCCACTTGGGTTCGAATCCCGGTCGCGACACTGACTTTTTCATCTCAACCAAGACCTTAGATAAAACGTATAATTAAATTAATAGGGTAAATTATGACATATTTATAATGTTTAAAAATTTCCAATATTTTTTTTTTTTTTTTTTTGAAAAAGAGATAGGTGTAAGTATGAAGATGCAGTTGGAGAAAGTGCCCATAAAGGAATGGTTTTTGTTTTTATTAAAGAAAAAAAAGGAAAATTTGAAATTGGTGTTGATTGATTTAAGATAAAACCAATTTTTCTCTATTTCACTTGGTTTTTGTTTACTGTAAGAAAATTTTTAATCGAGTTATATAAACAAAATAATCTACAGGGCTGCTTAGCAGTCAATATTTATCATCTTCAAATAACAATTGTATACATTATTTTTGGTTTTGGTTCCTATCTGTGATTCATGTTTATGACGCAGGATTTCTCGAAGGGGAAGGAAACTGAAAACATCTGGAATACTCACAATTGTAGTCCTGTTCTGTGATAGTCTTGTGATTAGGCGGATCTCCCTCTGAGATGTGTGCAAGCCATTCTTCTCCTTTCTGGTCTTCTCTCTTGAACATCTTTTCCATCTCTTCGTCGAGCTCGGCATTTCCCTCTCCCTCCCGCCCATCACGCTCCGCCTGGAAAAACGACAAAATTTCTTAGGGCGCATTCCAAGATTACTCACAATTAAATGATTCGATAATGGCGACATGGTCTCAGAACAACAACACAACTAACTCGAAAATAAATAAATAATGAATTGCTTTCAAGCTCTCGAAATCAGAGGATTTCACTGTGAATAGTATAAACAATTCTATCTATAAATAAATTTATTCGTCTTAATATTATCCTTAAAGTAATCATATTTTATATATCACCTTCTTCCAGAGTTAAGGGTCGGAAAACACGAATATTTTCTCGATTGGGACAGTTGTTAAGTTTACGCATCGACTTCTTCCCCACCTTCAAATCCTCCAAGTTTGGGAGAAAAATTTCACGTTAAATCATCACTCTAAACATGGATATATAGTATTTTATTTCTTCTTGATGTCTGCACGGTGATGAATCTATTGTTTGGTCATTCCTGATCATTTTGATCTACCTATCCTCGCTGATGGTCCGCAGACTCCAATGCCTTACCCAGCTTATAACCCTGACTAAAGCTGGCAAAATGTCGAAACCCGACAGGCCAAAACCGCGAAGATAAGCAGATCAACAAGATCAAGGAACAAACAAACACAATTTTAGGTATAGCCAATTTTAAAATTTTTCTAAGTGATTCTTACAAAATACTACAATGATTATGGTCTTATTCGATATTTTTTGATGCAAGCAGAGGAAATCGTTGTCAAGTAGCTGGTGATGATGCCAATGCGTCTATAAGTTGTGAGATGACCTTCTATGGTTTGCGGACGATAAACCTATAGTTTGATAACTATTATCTTGGTTTGCCTATTTTTGCTGGCTTGGGTCCTACACTTTCTGTTTTGCTATCTTGCTCTACTCTGCTTATAACCCTGACTAAAGCTGGCAAAATGTCGAAACCCGACAGGCCAAAACCGCGAAGATAAGCAGATCAACAAGATCAAGGAACAAACAAACACAATTTTATGTATAGCCAATTTTAAAATTTTTCTAAGTGATTCTTACAAAATACTACAATGATTATGGTCTTATTCGATATTTTTTTATGGGATGCAAGCAGAGGAAATCGTTGTCAAGTAGATGGTGATGATGCCAATGCGTCTATAAGTTGTGAGATGACCTTCTATGGTTTGCGGACGATAAACCTATAGTTTGATAACTATCACCTTGGTCTGCCTATCTTTGCTTACACTTTCTGTTTTGCTATCTTGCTCTACCCTGCTTATAACCCTGACTAAAGCTGGCAAAATGTCGAAACCCAACAGACCAAAACCGCGAAAGATAAGCAGGTCAATTTGAACGAGTAACAATCAAACAAAAGTGATTCTTACAAAATACTACAATGATTATGGTCTTATTCGATATTTTTTATACGACGCAGGCAGAGAAAATAGTTGTCAAGTAACTGGTGATGATGCCAATGAGTCTGTAAGTTGTGAGATGACCTCTAATGGTCAGCGGGGTCAAATTTTGTTAGTTATCAGCGAGGATAGGCAGACCTAGATGATCTATCAACTAGATGATGAACTATCAAACTATAGAAACTATAAGTGCTTGAGTGGTTGGACTACCTTCTGTCTACACTATTTGCTATTACTCTATGTGATTATGAACAACTTATAAGATAAGCCAATCAGCGGCCATTCATGGTTAAAGTCCTTCGTATCACTCTCATCGATTTGTGGTCAATGTGAAGATATTAGATCCCACGGTAACATTTTGTAAATATTATTTTTAAATTAATTAAGGTTAATTTAAACCTTAACCGTGGGGATTCGAACCCACGACCTTCGGCTTGATACGCCGCTGCTCTACCACCTGAGCTAACCTCGAATCCCTCTCGTGCCATTGACTTTTTTTCATCTCAACTAAAAACCTTAATTAATTGTAAAGTATTAATTGGTCAAGCGGACCACGAAAATAGTGAATTTAATTATTTTTAAACTACAACTGCGTCAATTTATGCAATAGGTTATATGAAAAAACATAAATGGCGTGTTAAGCCAGAAACACACTTACCCGATGCTACGCCAAGCTACCCGACGCAAATCTAAACTCCGATTTTCCATAAGGTTGCACTACCCCCGTGCACATCTACCCGACGCTCTGCGATCCCCACTGTCCAGATTTTCGTCGGGTCGCATTGAGTACAGTCGAAGACAAAAGAACCGGACACTCATATTTTTATTCAAACTACATGTATTACTGTTGTTATATTAATTACAATATACTTATTTTAATACAAACAAAATTAACTGTGATTAAAAATTAATTAGTTTTTATTTAAAAAATTAATTTTAATGGTTTGGTAGAAAATTAATCAAAACACCGGAATACGATTTTTTGATATAATGAATTTAACTAACAATGTGTAGAGATTAACTAACAATTTATTTGACTATACTTACACGGTTTTGCTCATAAAATTTAATTAACAATTTATTTCAGTTTTTCTCGTAAAATTACACCATTTTCGTCGGGTAGCATCAGAACAGGACACTCATATTTTTTGTAGTTTATTTCAAACTAACTACATGTAATTTTGTCGTTATATTAATTACATGTTATTTTAATGTAAACCTATATTAAACGAGATCAAAAATGCATAAGTTTTTATAAATTCTTTAATTATGATGGTTAGGAAGAAAATTTATCAAAACACCGGAATAACTTTATTTAAAACAATTAATTTTATCAAACAATTTATTAGATGGTTGTGCTCATAAAATTTAACTAACAATTTATTACAAGGTTTTGCTGAAAATAGTGCATTAAGAACAAAAGATGTGTTGCGATTGTGATCGTGATTATTGTGATAAACGCTGTGGACTGTACGCGACGTGTGCTTGCGTCGGATAGATGTGCGCACCCCGCCAAAACATAGCGGGTAGCGTCGCATGGCGTAGCATCGGGTGTGTTCCCGGCTTAAAGCTTCAACCTCCTAGAGGGATTGGAAGGGAAGGTCATGTATGAGAGAGTTGGAATGAACAATTTGTAGTGGAATTCTCGGTACGGGATTTGACTAGGTTAGTGACATAAGGAATTTGGAGGTCTTAATGGAGAGTTTGGTTAGAAACAAAGAAAGGAGCATCACTGATCGTGCGGAGGATTTTGGAATGGAAGATCCTTTTAAAGTTGATTTTTAGGCCGAACAGTTCCATACCGTAATTCCATTTAGGAGCTAGAAGAGTATTTTTAAGGTTAAGATTATTTAAAGTAAAGTTGAGTTTAAGCTGCTTAAACATTTTAGTTGTCTTGTACCTGTAGTTCAAGACTTCCATTTTAAGTCCTTTTTTGTGGATTCCATGTCAATCATGTCTATGTAAAGTCCCAAGTATTTGACACGATCTGCCGCAGGAAGTGGAATTTGAATTAGATAATCTTGAAGGCGTATTTTACTCGAAGGTAAAGGCCATCCTGGAGGAAACGAACTGATAGGATAAGACCGAGGTTTGCAGAGATTGGTCTATTTTGTCAGCAAATTTACGGGTGAGTGTGTTAGAGAGTTAAGGGTTATGCTGGAAACTAATGGACCTAGGATGCTCCGTTGAGGAACACCGGAGAAGTTGAGGTACGGTACGAACCATGGAAGAGACAATCAGATAGTACATACTAGAAAGGAAGGATCTGAGTCGACAGCAATCAACCCTGATGCCAGAAGTAATCGAATGTCTGGAAGACATCTTGAGAGATTCCAGGGTAGAACTACTTACGTTGTAGGTACGTTGCAATCGCTTATAAAACACGATGAATTTTACGGATTGTAGAGTGGTAATTACAGAAACCAAATTAGTGGTCAGGAATAAGGTTGGTTGTGGATAAGATGTTTTGCTTCTTTGCCGGCGGGATGTAATTGCTCCTCAAGTACTTTCGAGGTAGTGTTGAGAGAAATTTGCCCTGTATATCCAGAAATTCCATCACCCACCCTGGGAGTCGTGGCCCACTATGTATGGAACTACGACGACACGGGTGGTATAGTGTGGTTTGAGACACGAGACCCCGAAACGGCTCACCTCGTGTTCTCATCCGAGCCCTTTTTCTCAATCCGAGTTCCTTCATTCTATCCTGTGACCCCTCCTAACTTTGTTTGCAAGGGGGGTATCCGAGCACAAAATAAAGGTGCAGGCCAGAGGGCGTGGCAACCTCTCTAAAACACAAGCTGTCGGCCTAGGGTCGGCATAGGCGGCGGATGCCTTAGCAGAGTCACACGAGGTCCAGTGCACTAGATCCTGTCTGCAAAGACGGGGGAAGGTATATGGCCATCTGTACCACGGGGTAACTAACCCTTCCAAATTCAGCCCTAGTTACTCTGGGAATGGATTCGAGGTGGTGCGTGGTGACGCCCCTGGCGGGAACTTAGGCAGAGGCTGTCTTCTATCTGTGACCTTCGTGAAGCTTGCCTATGGCAAGCGTAATTACCCCCGGCCTCACGGGAGACGTTGCGACCGGACGACAGCGATCATGCTGAATAGTCCCTCGAATGCGTGAGTAAGCGAATGGAAGCGGGAAGTGAATCGGTGTCTCGGACTCGAGTATGCTTTGCATTGTTGTGCGTATGACCGGTGTGTACCCTTGGGGAAGCGAAGAATCGGACCACCTAGGCTGAGCCCATGGCGTCCCTCGTATGCGCCTTGCAGGTGTAGGCTGAGCTGATAAGAGACTTTACTGTAGGCGGTGCTCATCTAGGGCAATTTCACTTTAAACTAAACCGCTGCCGAGCCGTTCCCGGAAGTTTGTACGCTAGGGGAGCCCCTATACTCAGGGAGATAGAGTGGCCTTTTCTATCTAGGGAGTACGCGGGAGAACAGGCTGATGTAATTCGGCCTGTTAGCCCTTTGCGTGCGGCATACGACCCGATGCACACTGCGGGCCCGTCCATTCGGAGTGGACAAGCGGAGAGCGAGGTTGTCTCGGCCCTTAAGGCTGGGGCGCCTCTACACCAATGCTGCGGCGGTAACACCATTCCGTCGTATGCGGAGGTGCGTCAGCTCTC